GAGAGAGACAGGCTGCCCACAGCCTCACACTGACATGTATCTGAAACCCGTAATTCTTCTCCACGTTGAACTCGGACACGTCGACGCAGGAGCGCAGGTCAATCTCTCCGTCCAGGTCATCCTTCTGAGAGCGAGAGAGAGACGGGTCACACCCCGACCCCACAGCACACGGCGCCGCCTGCTCAACCCTGCCGAGCTCCCAACATCCAGCATCCCGCCTGCGATGCACTGCTGACAAACCCCTCTCGAACCAGCGCCGCGTTAATCGGCTCGTGCGCGGTTAACGAGCTTCCCTACCGACCCTGCCGATGAAGTGAAACCGCGCGACCGCGGGCGAAGGGTCGAAGGCTCTGCTCACACCCGCAGAGAAACCAGGAGGGCGGCGAGCTGGACACGCTGGCCCGAACGCAACCCGCCAGGGGCCGGCCTGCTGGGGGCGCCGACAAGTCATCCAGCTAAATCTGGGCATCCGGCTCATTAAGAGGGAAATGAATTCAATCTTAAAACTGACCAGAGGGTCTCCTGCAAGGCTCCACCGATACATGCAATCGCCCTACGATCGCGGGTTCGAGGCTGGGTCCCGTCACTAGCCAACCGTGACTAGCAGTCCCCCAGTCCCAGTTGGCTGTGCCATTGGAGACCCTTCAGCGCCCAGTAAATCCGGGCGTGGATCAGGCTGCTGTGCTGTGGGAATCTGGGCAGTCTGCCGCCTCACCTCCTCCGCTCCTGAATCCCTGTAGTACTTCAGGCCAGCATCCGTCAGGACAAACCAGTGCTTCTTCCACTGCAGAGAGGGAAACCAGTCAGGACAGCACCCCCCCACCGCTGACAACGCCCCCTCCCCCAGTTAACCAGCCAGCAAGACACACCCACTGACGCCCCCTCGAGGTCATCTACTCCATCACACCCACTGACACGCCCCCTCAGGGTCAGCCACTCCACTATACCCACTGACACCACCCCCTCCCCCAGTAAACCAGCCAGCAGACCACACCCCCTAGGTCATACAGTAATCCACACCCACTGACACGCCCCCAGATAGCAGACCACACCCACCCACACGACGCCACGCCATACTGCAAGCCACACCCACTGACACACCCCCAGATAGCAGACCACACCCACCAACATGACGCCACGCCAGACAGCACGCCACACCCACCACCCCCAGGCCAGAGCAGCACACACACGGACTCCAGCGTAACTTCTCCAGACTCCCTCCTAACCCGCAGTACCTCGCCATTCTCGTGCAGCTTCGACATCCAGCCCTTCTTGAAGTTGAGGAGATCGGGCTGCAGGGAGAGAGAAAGAAACAGCAGTCAGTCTCTGCCCTCCGAGGTCTTTATTTCCTGTGAAATACTGTCTAGGTTCTCCAGCCACGGACTGCCGATTTCTGGGCGATCATCAGCCATCCTGCA